GGGTCTTGAAGACAGTCAGGGGTCTTGAAGACAACCAGGGGTCTTGAAGACAACCAGGGGTCTTGAAGACAACCAGGGGTCTTGAAGATAACCAGGGGTCTTGAAGACAGCCAGGGGTCTTGAAGACAACCAGGGGTCTTGAAGACAACCAGGGGTCTTGACAGCCAGGGGTCTTGAAGACAGCCAGGGGTCTTGAAGACAGCCAGGGGTCTTGAAGACAGCCAGGGGTCTTAAAGACAACCAGGGGTCTTGAAGACAGCCAGGGGTCTTGAAGACAACCAGGGGTCTTGACAACCAGGGGTCTTGAAGACAGCCAGGGGTCTTGAAGACAGCCAGAGGTCTTGAAGACAGCCAGGGGTCTTGAAGACAACCAGGGGTCTTGACAACCAGGGGTCTTGAAGACAACCAGAGGTCTTGAAGACAACCAGGGGTCTTGAAGACAGCCAGGGGTCTTGACAGCCAGGGGTCTTGACAACCAGGGGTCTTGAAGACAACCAGGGGTCTTGAAAACTACCAGGGGTCTTGAAGACAGCCAGGGGTTTTCAAGACAGCCAGGGGTGTTGAAGACAGCCAGGGGTCTTGAAGACAACCAGGGGTCTTGAGGAGAGCCAGGGGTCTTGAAAACTACCAGGGGTCTTGAAGACAGCCAGGGGTCTTGAAGACAACCAGGGGTCTTGAAGACAACCAGGGGTCTTCAAGACAGCCAGGGGTCTTGAAGACAACCAGGGGTCTTGACAACCAGGGGTCTTGAAGACAGCCAGGGGTCTTGAAGACAGCCAGGGGTCTTGAAGACAACCAGGGGTCTTGAAGACAACCAGGGGTCTTGAAGACAGTCGTGGGTCTTGAAGACAACCAGGGGTCTTGAATACAGCCATGGGTCTTGAAGACATGCAGGGGTCTTGAAGACAGCCAGGGGTCTTGAAGACAACCAGGGGTCTTGAAGACAGTCATGGGTCTTGAAGACATGCAGGGGTGTTGACAACCAGGGGTCTTGAAGACAACCAGGGTTCTTGAAGACAGCCAGGGGTCTTGAAGACAACCAGGGGTCTTGAAGACAGCCACAGATCTGGAAGACAACCAGGGGTCTTGAAGACAGTCATGGGTCTTGAAGACAGCCAGGGGTCTTGAAGACAGCCAGGAGTCTTGAAGACAACCAGGGGTCTTGAAGACAACCAGTGGTCTTGAAGACAACCAGGGGTCTTGAAGACAGCCAGAAGCCTTGAAGACAGCCAGGAGTCTTGAAGACGTCCAGGGGTCTTGAAGACAGCCAGGAGTCTCGAAGACAGCCAGGGGTCTTGAAGACAACCAGGGGTCTTGAAGACAGCCAGGGGTCTTGAAGACATCCAGGGGTCTTGAAGACATCCAGGGGTCTTGAAGACAGCCAGGGGTCTTGAAGACAGCCAGGGGTGTATTGGTAATCCCCCTTATGTATGCTGGGAGGCAGTTGAACAGTCTCGGGCCCCTGACACTTATTGTATGGTCTCTTAACGTGCTAGTGACACCCCTGCTTTTCATTGGGGGGATGTTGCATCGTCTGCCAAGTCTTTTGCTTTCGTAGTGAGTGATTTTCGTGTGCAAGTTCGGTACTAGTCCCTCTAGGATTTTCCAGGTGTATATAATCATGTATCTCTCCCTCCTGCGTTCCAGGGAATACAGGTTTAGGAACCTCAAGCGCTCCCAGTAATTGAGGTGTTTTATCTCCGTTATGTGCGCCGTGAAGGTTCTCTGTACATTTTCTAGGTCAGCAATTTCACCTGCCTTGAAAGGTGCTGTTAGTGTGCAGCAATATTCCAGCCTAGATAGAACAAGTGACCTGAAGAGTGTCATCATGGGCTTGGCATCCCTAGTTTTGAAGGTTCTCATTATCCATCCTGTCATTTTTCTAGCAGATGCGATTGATACAATGTTATGGTCCTTGAAGGTGAGATCCTCCGACATGATCACTCCCAGGTCTTTGACGTTGGTGTTTCGCTCTATTTTGTGGCCAGAATTTGTTTTGTACTCTGATGAAGATTTAATTTCCTCATGTTTACCATATCTGAGTAATTGAAATTTCTCATCGTTGAACTTCATATTGTTTTCTGCAGCCCACTGAAAGATTTGTTGATGTCCGCCTGGAGCCTTGCAGTGTCTGCAATGGAAGACACTGTCATGCAGATTCGGGTGTCATCTGCAAAGGAAGACACGGTGCTGTGGCTGACATCCTTGTCTATGTCGGATATGAGGATGAGGAACAAGAATTGGGAGCTATTTCTGTGCCTTTTTGGAACAAGTTTTTCACCGTGGGCGGGCCTGGACTTTACTCTTTTTTGGAAACTACTCTCTGTTTTCCCGGGTTTTTAAAGGGGAAAATTATAGATCCACCCGACCAACTTTTCCTGTTACCCCCTTTAGAAACGCATTTTGTGCGCAAATTAGCCCTTGGTCAACTTGTCAAAAGGCTTTTGCAAAGCCTGTATATTTTTACACGGCATTTTTTTTGGTCTTTTTAGTTTTTTTTAAGGACCTTGCCCGTATTGCCCCAGGTTGAACAACAGGAGCGACCTTTCTAAACCCATTTTGGGAAATGGGTTGTTTTAAAGATATAGAGTATATTATCCTTGTATGTTGGAAAAAGTTTTCTTTAATTTGTTACTTAGAGCAAGTGAAATCCTGCGCTTTACAAAATTTAATTTTTTGTTGGTTTGGATGGGGGGGGGGTTTCCCTTTTTTACTTCCCAGAGCACATATGTACTCTTTAAAATGTCCCTTTGGGGGGGGGGGGGATGTATAGGTTTTAATGGAAATTGGTGAGGTTTTTACCTTTAAAAAATTTGGTTTTGATAAAAAACGGGCAAAAAGATGTAAAAGTGGTTTAAAATTAGATTATTTGGAAAATGTTTTTTGGTACCCCTGTGTAAGTGTTCCTTTTTGTTTTTGGTTTGGTAATTATTTTTGTATTTTAATTTTTTTGTTTACATGTTTTTTGGGTTTTAAGGGGACAAAACGTTTATTTCCCATGTTTTAATGAATACTGTTTTTTTTAAATAAAATTAAAAAAAAAAAAAACTCCCTTTCCTTTAACGCACCTTTTCGGGGGCAGGTAAAATTTGCGCCCTTTAGAAAATTTTAAAAGAACTTTCACGGGGGCCCCAAAACGGAATAAAAAACCTAAATTTAAACTGGGAGCGCTTGAGGTTTCAAAATTTTCTCTGGAACGAAAGGGGGGGGAGATACATGATTATATACACCCGGGAAAACCCCTAGGGGGGACAAGTACCGAATTTGCACACAAAAATTTCACTCACTACGAAAGAAAAAGATTTGGGGCAGACGATGAAAAACATCCCCCAATGAAAAGCAGGTGTCACTTGCACGTTAAAAAACCCCATACAAAAAATGCCCGGGGGCCCGAGACTGTTCAACTGCCTCCCAGCAACTAACGGGATTACCAACAGACCCCTGGAAAGCCCTTAGCTGGCACGGGGACAAGCAAAAAAAGTCTTTCCCTGATCAGCGGGGGCTGTGGCTGTACTTTGGGTTTTTGCGTGCAGCTAGAAATTTAAATCTGGTTGATCAGGCCCCGATCCACCGGGAAACCCGGGTAAACAGCCCGGGGCCGCGGGGGCTTTGGGCCCCCGGAACTCCCTCCCAGGTAAACTCCAGGTAAACCCCTTCCCAAAAATCATTTTGATGTAGCCACCCAAACATGTAATCTTTATGAACTTGCCAGAATGGATGTTGGAGGAGGGCTTTTCCCGCTGGTTTAAAAAGGCTACCTGCCCCCCCAACAAAAGTCGTCTGTGTTTTTCCAGGCAGAAGTGTAACTAAAGTTTTTGAATTGAACCCCACAGGGGGGTGTGTTTTCCCCACACTGTTCAATGTTCTAATTAATGCATTACTTAAATGCTATCCTAGCCAGCCCCACTTTATATGATTAGTTTTGGGGGTGATATAATATTCCCCCACCGGATTCTCCAAAAACCCAAAATATTCTTGATCATGTACTACCTCTTTCAGACCGGGGTTTATAACTCTATGAAAAAAAAAGATACTCAACAGGCGTCCTCCTCGACAGAGAGGCACATTCGTCAGATCCAGTTGCATGAGGCTCTCTTCTGAATATGAAGCAGATAAGGTATCTGGGTTTTTGGGGTTTCCACTGCTTGGACCTGTTTAACGAGATTTTGTCCCCAAATACAAAGAAAGGGCTGAGAGCACTTAGAGTTGTGGCAGGTTTTCCCCTGGGTATGGTGCAATTTAAAATTGTGAAAATGAGTTCTTGCTTATATTAGTCATTGGTTGAATGCGGGCCACTACTCCCGTGTCTGACGGGAAGTTTGGGAGGGGGGAAAAAACTGCAAAGAACAAGGGGAATCATTTTAGGATGCCCTCGACCCCAAAAATTTTAAATATGCAAAAAAAATTTTGATTTCCAAGCATCAGAGATCGTGTTACTAAAAGAAATACCCTTTTGGGGTCAATATGTTAGGTTAGCCATTCAAACCCCTGCCAGAAGCCCTCCAAATTTCCTCACACTGGTGAACATCTTCCGATGGACGAAAAAACGGGAACCGCCCTCCGCATACCCATACAGATCTAATCAAGTTAGACAACAGAGAATTTCCCTCTCCGGAAAATTTCCCATTTCCAAAATACCATTTCCTCCATTCCCCCCAAAACTCTTCCCAATCACAAACCAAAGATTGTCTTTAAGCCAGAAAAATAGCCTTTAAACATATTAAAAAACTTAGTCCACAAACACTCTTTCACAAATTTTTACGTTGATGATTTTGTTCCCCGGGGCTACTGTGCAGCTGGTAGTGCTGCGTTGTCAAAACGGTGCAGCTGTAGTGCTCTGTTTTCGTACATGGGCAGCTGGGGAGTGCTGCTGTTGTCGTACACTGGTCAGCTGGTAGTGTGCTGTTGTCCACTGGTGCAGCTGGTAGTGCTGCTGTGTCATACACGGGCAGCGGAGTCCTGTTGGGAAAAGGTGCAGCTGGGGGCTGCTGTTGTCGTACCTGGGCAGCTGGTATGCTGCTGTGTCATACACTGGTGCAGCTGGGAGTGCGCTGTTGTCATACACGGGGCAGCGGAGTGCTGCTGTTTTCGTACACGGTGCATGGTATCTGTGTTTGTCGTAACTGGGCAGTGGTTGCTGCTTTGCAAACACTGGGGCAGCTGTAGTGCTGCTGTTGTCATACACGGGGTTGCAGCTGGTAGGCTGCTGTTTTTCTACACTGGTGCGTGGGGGCTCGTTGTCGTACACTGGGGGCAGGGATCTGCTGTTTTCATACACTGGTGCAGCTGGTAGTGTGCTGTTGTCATACACTGGTTTCAGCTGGGAGGCTGCTGTTGCTCACTGGTGCAGCGGTGTGCTGCTGTTGTCATACACTGGTGCGCTGGTAGGGTGCTGTTGTCAACCTGGTGCAGCTGGTAGTGTTTCTGTTTTCGTACACGGTCGTGGTAGTGCTGCTGTTGTCATAACTGGGGCAGCTGGGAGTGCTCTGTTTTTCATACATGGGGGCAGCGGTAGTGCTGCGTTGTATACCTGGTGCAGTGGATGCTGCTGTTTTTCATACAGGTGCAGCTGGTTGTCTGCGTTGTCCCTACACTGGTGCAGCTGGTAGTCTGCTGTTGTCTCACTGGGCGCTGGTGTGCGCTGTTGTGTACACTGGTGGCTGGATGTGTGTTGTGTACACTTTGGGACTGGTAGTGGGGCTGTTGTCATACACTGGGCAGCTGGTAGGCTGCTTTTCATACACTGGTGCAGCTGGAGTGCGCGTTTCATACACTGGGGCAGCGGGATGCTGCTGTTTTCATACAGGTGCAGCTGGTAGTGCGCTGTTTCGTACCTGGGCAATGGTAGTGCTGCTGTCATACGAGTGATGGCTCTCATAAAGAAAATTGGGGCACGCACAAAAACTGGGCCTCTACCCCTTTAACAGAATGTTTTTTCCATACTCCTTGCACTCAAATGCGTCTGTTCTAAGGTTGACACTTTTTTTGTAATGATTCTCTTATCCATAATGGGCTAACCATTAAGTATAAATTGTGGCATCTTTTGTAGAATCAAACATTGGTAAGATTGTGGACGTGGAGTCAGAGTGCACATCTTGTGTCAGAAGTCAACACAGGGATGGGAGGGTTGTGGGCAGTGGATCAGAGTGCACATGTTGTGCAGAAGCCAAAACAGGTAGTAAGTTGTGGACATGGGGCAGGTGCACATGCTTTTTTTGTCAAAGTCAGACACAGGTATTAGGATTGTGGACAGTGGAGTAGGTGCCATTTGTGTCGAACCAAAAAGGGATGGAAGTTTTGGACAGTGGAGTCAGAGTGCACTCTGTGCGAAGCCAGACACAGGTATGGTAAATTTTGGGCTGGAGTAAAAGTGCACATGCTGTGTCAGAAACCAGAACGTATGGTAAAATTGGGACGTGGAGTCAGAGTGCACATGCTGTGTCGAAGTCAGACACAGGGATGGGAAGATTGTGGACAGTGGGGTCGAGTGCCATGCTTGGTCAGAGTCCGACACAGTTGGTAAGATTTTGGACATGGAGTCAGATGCAATGCTTGTGTCAGAAGTCAACCGGTAGGAAATTGTGGACAGGGAGTCAGAGGACATGTTTGTCAGAAAGCCAGAACGGTAGGTAAAATTTGGGCAGGGGGTCAGACTGCAATGGTGGATTCCCCTCACATTGGTCTTCAGATGCTGAAAACTGATAAATTGCTAAGCTGTATCTTTCAAAGAGGGAGAGATTACAAACTTTGGGTTTTCAGTTAACAGTTTTAGAACAATAAACCCAAAAAACTTTAATGAACTTTATTACTTAAGACTTAGGGGGGTTGGACCCTGAGTCCTCTTCATCATTCCATCAGCAGGAGGAGCCCCACGTCATGGTGATCCAAAAAGTAAACAACTCTTTGGGTGCACTACTGCCCGGCTCCGGCTGCACTACCCCCGGCTCCGGGTGTCACTACCCCCCGGGCCGGCTGTCACTTTTTGCCCGGCTCCGGTGGGTTACAAGTATCTTTGGGGAGGTTAAAACACACCCCCAGATTAGACCAAAAGAAATGAAAATTTTTCCAGATGGATTTGTACACCTTGCGTCTTATGTATGGGTGTGAAAAATTAATGAATTTAGAAACAACTCCTCAGAAATGTTCAAGAAATGGCAAAGTATTTTTTCCACAGTGGGATATTTCGACCCTTTTGGAGAAATAAACCCCCAAATTTGCAGCTGTAAAAATGCTTTTTCCACATGTGTGTGTTTGTGTGTGTGTGTGTTGTGTGTGTGTGTGTGTGTTGTGTGTGGGTTGTGTTGTGTGTGTGGTTTAGTTCCATTTGGTCTTGGCACATGTCGATTAGACACTAGGCTTTGTATGTGTGTGGCACGCGCGTGTGGTGGTGTGCGTGTGTGTGTGGTGTGTGTTGGGTGTGTGTGCGTGCATTGGTATTTTGTGTGTGAGTGTGTGTGGGGTGTGGTGAGTGGTTTTGTGTGTGTGTGTGTGTGTGTGTGGGGTGTTTGTGTGTGTGGTGTGTGTGGGACTCACCTATTTTACTCACCTTTTTGTGGTTGCAGGGGTCAGTCACAGCTCCTGGGCCCCCCCTCTTGCTGATTGCTACTAGGGCCCTCTCTCTCCCGCCCCCTGACTATTCCCGCCTTAAAATATGTATGTTCCTGCCTCCACCACATCACTTTTTGGCATTCATGGGGAAAACTCTATACGAAAAATACTTCCTAAACCCTTTTATTTTTCTGAGTCTTCAAATTCCAATTGTGACCTCTTTTCTGTGTCCCCTCTCTGGAACATCCCGTCTTTGTCCACCTCGCTATTTCCGCGCAGTATTTTATATGTCGTTTCATGCTCCCCTGACCCTCCTGGCCCCCCAGGGCGTCAGGGCCCATTTCCCCAACCTTTCTTCATAGGGCAACCCCCGTAGTTGGGATA